CAAAATGTAATAAAAATCTGCCCCTTTTACCGATCACCCTAATAGAATTAAAAAAGAATTTACATTTTCAAAAGTTGTAGTCATCAACCTGGACGCAAAAAGATGCGTATCTAACAATTGACTGTGAGATGCAAAAATTGTATCCTGTGGAAAAGGTCCAAATCAAAAGCGCCATGGGTACTGAAGCTCACGACTTGATTTAAAGGGTTCCTATTCAACATTTATATTCTCTAAGTAACCATAAGATGTAAGAAGTAAGCCGAACTATGTGATGATTTTAGAGATTAGAGCACAGCATTCGTGTGAACTTTCGTAAAGAGACCAACAAACATAATCCTAGCATGTACCCCTGCAAGAAAATTTTTTTCTACCAATCAAATACCATGAATACCTTTTCATGAATTAAGATCTTTAGCAAACTGGGTACACAGACAATGGGAGGTTGCAGTCACCTGAACTAATCTCTGAATTTGTTCTGCCATCAGAATGGAATTACCCACGACCTTTGAAAAGAAAATCCTCTTAGACGAGTAAGTGTTAGCGGACAAAGAGTTTACTGTTTGGATAGCTTGCACAAGAAAGTACGACAGATCAAGAGACTGCCGACAAAGCTTATTTTGCTCTGAGAATTGCGCAACGATGTGATGCAAACTACAACAGATGAAGCCGAAAGGAATGGATGTGAAAAGGAAAACATACATATGGAAAAGCTAAATGAATAAATGACTGTTTGCCTTGCAAGAGGTTTATAATGACTTGAGTTTTTGAAGAAAGTCGTAGTTTAAGTTTGGAAAACTGTGCAGTTTTAGAGAAAAAGGCGATTTCTGAGTATGAAACGTACCATGAAAGTACCTGGGCCACTCTGAATACCTCTACTGAAGCGGATACTGTAACAAGAGGAAGCGGGGCACCTGGCACGGGGATTTACGATGACAAATACACGGCATGCCAACATTTTTGGGTCGTTTTTTCTATATTCAATACTGACCAAGCACATTCTCAAGCACACTTGCCAACATTTCTGGACCGTTTTTTTTTTGAATTCGATATCACTGTGATTTTCTACACAAAAATTTAATGAAAAACTTGTGATAAATTTGTTTTTCAGTTTGGGTAGGCATGAGTAGCTGCGCTTAACAAGAAGCATTCATGAATTGAGATTGGGGGCAGGTCCAGAGTAATGCGTAGAGCCGTACTTCAGGCAAACTATTAGGGTGAACGGTAAAAAGTGGGACAGCTTGATTTTCATTACATTTTGGAATTTTTTTGTTTCTGGCAACAGCAAGTAAGCAGCAACTTAAACGTCGCTTACATGGGCGACCTTCGCTTATTATTCTGACAACGCGTTAACGCTCCTCTTTCACTACCCTACACGTGGCGCCGTGAAGAACTCGAACAGGGTTTTTTGCACAATCCTCAATCTTGCGCTGTTATACCGTAAAATCGTAAAGCAAATGACATACCATTCGAAAGAGCTCTTCATGCTCTTTCGAACGATACATTAAATGCGAGATTTCTTTTCAATTTCAGAAAAAAAATTCGAAAAAACCTGAAAAATAGCTATTTTTTGGCGCAACAAAAAACCAAAAAATCATGTTTTGCCCTATATTTTCCGAAGATAGATAAAATCTGAAGTAAGCTGCATATGGATGAATAGAGCGTAAAAAGCTCTATCAGACGATACCTAGAAAATATGCGTTTACCTGCAAAGAATTGAATAACGCTTATCTTTATTCTCGAAGCTGTTAATGGGCATATCTCCTGACATTGAGAGTTAAAGCCATCAAGCCGTCGTGGGTTTGGTGACTGTCCCACCACTCACTCCAGCAGTGGTACTTTGGGTGGTCTCACATGTTTCACTGCGCCGATACTGCTCAAACTTCATAATTTCTCGAAGTAACTAACTTTGCATTTTAGCAAGTATAAAAATTATCAATTATTTAAATGACCTTATATAGGTGCTATCTGAAAGAGAATAATTTATTCTAATATCCATCAAAATTGGAAAGTTCAGTCACTTTCCTTCCTTGAGAAATCTGCAATTATTCTCAAGGTGTCCCATTTTTTACCGTTCACCCTAATATAAACACATCAAAGTATGGAAATTCGGAGTGCTCATAAGCTTCTTCAAAACCTTCCAATGAGGCTTTTAAAGCTCACACCAGCTCTAAACTCATCAAGCCTACACTAGTGGCTAAAGTATCTTAAATTGAGAAAATAAAGACTGGATTGAAGAAGAGGCTCCAACCCGTTATGCAGCAACATGAGAGCACTTGTGCTCAGCCTGCTTTCAAAGATATCAAGTGGCGCACAAATAAACGTGAACGATATCCATTAAAAAATTTCTCGACCAGAATCCAAAGAAAACTTTTGCAATTAAAGGTTCAAAGAAAAGTCAGATTGCGATAGATTTACATCCAAACCTAACTCTCTGCGCGGCTGTAGTAGGCAATGGTAGCGAGAAGAAATAACGAAGAAGTAAGAGAAGCAACAGATTTTAGGTGAAACTAATATGTATGAACACAAAACACCAACATTACAAGTCCATCTCCAGCTAAATTTTTAGTAATTGTGGAATGTCGACTTATTGAAAAATGTCTGTCTATGAAGCACTGGAATTTCACACTTGAAACGAATGTAAATATAGCTAAAGCTTTCTTGAGCCTTCTAAAAGCATAAAATAAGGAGCAAGACATTTCAAGCTGGACTAAAGCTACTCGAGACGGACCCATAACCCACGCTCCCTATAATGAGATAACACATCGGCATACAGCCTGTCGCGATGCATGACAAATGCGACTGAAAATGAGAATGCAAAATGAAGCAGTGATTTTTTTTAAATACTACCAAGGAAAGCTTTGGGAAAGTATTTGGCCTGAACTGAATATGGTTCGGGCGTCGCTACAGTACGGTAATCGTCGTCTTAGCTTAGTCACGGCTTGAAGAACGCTTCGAGCCCATCCGCTGCTCGAACGAGATCCGATTTCCGGGTGAGTAGTGCGCCCGATGTTTGACTACATTGCTAATCATAATGCAAACATACACAGAATCGCAATACGATGAGCAGATTATGCAGACACTTCTGACTGTATCCAGAATTGTTATTGTCATTGGGAGATTAGTTGGTACTTTTCCGTTATCCGGACCCATTTTTCGAAGAAGGATATTCGATGGATGCTTCTTGTACCATATTTTGTCCCAAATTCACAGGAAGGAGTGTCAACCTTCTGCCACGTGTCCGAGAATTTGACATGTCAACTACATGTTTAACAGGTTTTACCAAGGTTTTGTTTTGCACTGCCTAATGACGTTAATTCAATCTGTATTTGAGTAATAATGACCCCATGTTCAAGTAAAGGATTTGAAAAACGAACACTGGTATAATAATAACGTCACCTTGTTATTATAAGCAGATTAGACTTGCTCAGAATGGAGAAGTGCGCTAGGATTAGATGTGCGATGGGTGGAGCCGGGCGCCTAAGCCTCATTTCTTCAAAGCAATAAAAGCGGTAACGCTAATAACATTAACATGAGTAACACCGGTAACACTGGTAACACGAGCAATACTGGTAACACTCGTAACACCGGCAACACGGGTAAAATAGGTAAATAATGGTCAAAGCCTTACTTTATTTGGTGACGAATTAATATTAGGTTGTCAAGAAAATAATGTCGTTTTTTATTTGCTTGCTTCAACAAAGCAAACAGAATCAACCCAGCAAAGGGTAAGGGGCACTGGTCGATAGAGCAAAGCAAGCTCTACAAGATGGCGTCCACGATTTTGGCCAAGCTCGATCCACGGAGAGTTCGAACTCAAAATTTAAAGATTTCCAAATGCCCAAAAAATCGAAAAAAATCAGATCTTCGTCCAAATAATTTCTAGGGACCTCCCACTTGCTCACGTCAATACTTTCGATATCTGATATCCATCTGTGCGATTGTTGTATTTTTTCCTTAACTAGAAACTGAGAAAACGAAAATTTCCCTATTTTCCTCAAAGCCATGCTGAGCCGTTTTTGCATATGTGGTTTTGTACTACAAGCCTACGTAAGCATAACTGTAGACTTTCAGCCCATTCCAAGCGATAGTTCTCGAAAAATATCGAATGCGGATTTTTTCGTCTCAGTTTCAGTGCTAAAATCGACATTTCTCGAAAAGTACCGTTCGAAATAGGCTGAAAACCTTTAGTTATGCTTACGTAGGCTTGTAGTAAAGAACTACATATGCAAAAACGGCTCAGCATTGCTTTGGAAAAATCAGGAAAATTTTCGTTTTCTCAGTTTCTAGTTAACGAAAAAATACAGCAATCGCACATATGGATATCAGATATCGAAAGTATTGACGTAAGCGAGTGGGAGGTCCGTAGAAAATATCTGGACGAAGATTTGAATTTTTTGGATTTTTTGAGCATTTAGAAATCTTTAGATTTTGAGTGCGAACTCTCCGTGGATCGAGCTTGGCGCAAAATCATGAATGCCATCTTGTACAGCTTGCTTTGCTCTATCGAACAGTACCTCTTACCCTTTGTTGGATTGAGTTTGTTTGCTTTGTTGTAGCAAGCAAATAAAAAACGACATTATTTTCTTGACAACCTAATAATTGTGAAGATTTTGCAGTGCTCTCTACAAATTGAGCGACTGCTTTATTATCAGCTTTCATTACGTTTTAGCAGTAGTACTGCACTGACAACTCAGTGTAAGATCAAAACTACTTCTCCAGGGTTTCGAGCAGTAAAACTGTTACAAGCTTTTACCTCTCTCATTCTCAGTTTTATATACCATTTGCTACCAGCTGCGAATGTTTGGAAGCGCCGGGATTGAAAAACGCCAACTCTCATCTAGAAAATCTTTATGACGTATGAGCATGATTGTAAACTAGCGCACAATTTCACAGACAACTGCATTCATAAATTCTATAAATCAATATTTATTTATACACTATACATATGTAATATATACATCTGTACATATATTTACAAGAAAATATTTACATTTATTCACAAGATTGGAAGGGGGGAAGGAGGCAGAAAGTAGCAAAAGCATGAGATCGACAACTTGACCTGGAATGAGGAAAACTTTCTTGAATATCGTCTACTCCAGTGACCCGACTCCGATGCGGAAAGAGAAGAGAGACGCTGTAAAACTTAAAAACTGACAAAGACCGCAATTGGAACTTCCAGAGTTTGTAAGATTCGGGTTTTTACTCATTAATACAAACAGAAACCAGTACTGTACTATTTAACAAAGTACTGACGCGACATATAAAATCTAGCCTTTTAAAAGAGATCTTTTTCCAGCATATTGATTGGAGATGACGTTTCCAGGTTTACCCCTTTCACTGCATCAACAGAGATCAGAATTAGGCGCACAAAGAATTCTTTCCACAAGTGTCCGTAGATTGTCTCGCATTCGTCGTCACGGCTTCTGTTGTATGGCGACCCGACATAGAATGTTACTTGAGAATGTATGTAATGACTGCCTGTAAAGTTTGATATGACGTTCTTTAAAATAAAAACACGATCTCAAACTTACAAAAATCAGTATCTTGCTTTACCACAAGGGTCACCGTCCATGAGGTATCTGAGTTTTGATTGTCGCGATATGCGCCCTCCATGGCCTTTCCAGATAGAGTCCGTTTAGCAGCACATAGTACTGGGTGTACATGTTTGTAAGATGACAGCAGTGCAATTTTTGGTAGATTTGGTCTAAAAAACCAGGTAACAGATATTTTGCAAAAAAAGTGATCCTAACGACGTACCTGAGTCAATTCATTGTGACAACGTACTCATATTGAGCCCCTCCCAGAGTCATGATCCGCTATAGAGGAGTTAGGAGAGATATGATGATAGAGGTCTGTCTGCGGTTTTGTACATCCAGATCGGAAGCCATATGGGATGACGACTGGAGGAGAGCCATGGAGTGACGACACCGAGTCAAGCGGCGATGTGGTTGTAGCTTCGGATTTCGACGATGATGACAGTTTATAAGTGAGCGGACGAGTCTGTTCCCAAGGCATATCGTACCTGAAAAGAAAGGTATAGATACCAGCTGACCACTCAAAATATCCGCAGAGATGATGCCTATTAATCATCAACGCGATTCAGCGCGTGCATATCAACCACTTTCTACCACTATGCGATGAGATATGGTATTACTACGAGAATTAGAGATCCTATAGTAGCGACTACCGTAACAGAAAACGGTAGAAATTGTGGTACTAACCTGGCGTGTCCATCGGTCTTCCAGGATGACAGGGAAGGATGATGCCGCGGTTTCTCGTAAATATGGCGATGAATCCTAAAAAAGTACTGATACTTGTTTTCATAAATGATAACTGTGAAATGCGGAAACTTTACGAACCTTTTCTGTCGAAGAAAAGCAACCAGTACACATGCGAGGCCCACTGATGCTAGGACAGCAATGCCCGCCAGTAACAGAACACATACATGCAGTAGCTTTTCATCTCCTTTCAACTGTGAGAAAATCGAATTCGATTCGGCAGAGATATCTTCTGGCAGCTGTAAATCCCAATCTCAGGAGCATTCAGTGTTACTAGTGACTACTGCGAAGGTGCGGTGGTCTCGCAGCAGGAAACTTTTGCGCTATTAAGCACACAAGCCAGGCCTCAGTAGCAGCTCAGTGGGTCATTCGCTAATCATGGTCTATGGAAAAAAAATACTTCTTTCGCAGGGATAGAACTGATGCTTTAGACCATGACTTTGAACTGTTTTTTCCTTTTAATCATTAGGGAGTTCGGAGCAGTAGAATTAGAGGGTTAAAATCAATCAGAAATCTGACTGTCAAATGATTAGAAATGAAGCTTTTTTCCGAAAAGGAATCATGGGTGATAAGAAAGTAAAATGTTGAATTTAATTTCGCTAGTTTGATTAATTCTGAAGGAGAAGTGTCACTAACCGTTTGTTCAATGAGTGTTACATCGGAGGGATTCGGGCACCATGGACATCTCTCTGTATGCTTTTGTATAGCAAGAGTGGCGTTAAAGCATTTGGCTCTAATCTCGATCAGCTTCTTGCCCAACTCCTCTTCCGTTTCTGCAGTGGTAGTGGCCATGTCCTGATGACGTCGGTTTCGACCCTACAACTATTGGGTTAACGCAATAAAACAGTAGCAACATTATAGTCTTGCGCAATCGCAGCTACTTCCGTATGAGAGCATGGGATAACGAATAATTAGCAATAGTTAGTGCATCAAGCGTCGAAACTCACAAATGCCTCAGTAACTCCTTCTTGAAAAACGCGAACTGTTGCCGTCTGGTCGCAGACTCGTGGAAAACCATAGGTCGGGTCAGTTCCGACCACCTGGCAGGTGAGCATCACATCCTCTGGTTTACCTTTTGCCCAGTGAGACACAAACGAGCGTGAGGCATCCTTAAATGAAAGATATGTGACATGCGCTTCAGGGTGCGATGTGGCACTTCTGTTTTTCAGCCGTAAAATGAACTATTGCAATTCAGAGGTGTAATGTTTTAGCATTGCATTAAATTTCAACATAACTAATCTAGACCTACTTTCTCAAAATTCTAATAGGTTCTCTACGCTATCGTTGATTGACGGACCAACTGTACCACTTCACAAAGCGGCCGCTTAGTGGCGTAAGGATACAAATTTGCGCGCAAGTGAGAAAAATACGACACTCCTCTGTCCTGGTCGCATTAAGAGTGCGTATAGCGGTAAACGTCGAAATAGTATCAGATATAAGGATGCCACAAAAATGGCCGCAAAAAACCCATTTGATATACAGTATACTTTATTTGAAAAAAACTTTTTTCAGGAACTCAAAAGTAAAGCAATTGATTTTTTCAAAAGCTCAAAAAAGTAAAGTAATTGATAGTTTGCCTACCTGTACAAAGTGCTCCGAAATAGACCAACTGATAGAAATCTTCTCGGTAATTGGTAACATGTCCTCAAGTACCTGAAGATGCACTCTCAATTTGAGGTGGTAAGCTATAGTAATACGATGAAATTCAATTTCAGACCTTGAATCTGGGCTGAGAGCAACCGGCAGTGGTTAGGCATCCTTCCCTCCAATCCACCCGCAACAGCTCGGCTGTCATCCAGAATGATTCCGTCGAAATAATAGGTAGCAGAATTAGCAATGCCAACATCTGTAAAAAAAACAAATGCATTCCATTGTTAGTTCAAATATTCATCAACAATGAGTAGAAAATTGTTATGGCACATCACGACTAAAGTTTTCTACATGGCGACTTGAGAAGGGGTGGAGCCGAGGTGAGGGCCTAATTGCACCGTCTTCCCCCCCCCCCCTTTCGCTCCCCTTATCGCCCCTCATGGGGCCATAAGCGTGTGCGCGAAAGGCTTAATTCCAAACGATTATTGCTGGAGATTGAAGAGTAATGTGAGAAATATGAGTGTGCAAAGGATATACAGACCATAGATCGCAAGTGGTCAAAGAAATGAACATTATGTGGATTAGGCCTCAAGTTACCGAATTTGATTGACAGTTGGTTACAGCTGTGCCAAAAAGGTCTTAGAAGTTTGACTACGCAAATCATCTCTACATCCAAACAAGGTTCTGAGAAAACAACTTTCCAGCGATACCGCAGCATCCTTCAAACCTCTATCCGAATAACAGACAGGGCCAGGCACAGGTGGCTTATAGGCAAGCTGGATATCGTTTTTGGGACAAAAAGCAAAAGGGATAGCGGTTTGAAGTCTGAAAAAAACATAGGTTGGGTTAGGTTTTCTGAAATCGACGTTTTTGATTTCGGGTCGAAGGTGACTTCGTAAAATTTTGCAAAAGTCGGGGGATTTCGTCTTTTGCACATTCGGAAGCCACCTCGTGCCGAACCCTGATAACAGAAAAAAGCGCCATTCAGTGAAGTGTGAAAGTGCCGGAGAATCCTGGTTATCGCGAGTATTAATCTGAGTACACTGGCTATTGCCTGAGATACGATCTTTACTTAAATTGATCTACATCGCTCGTCAAACAAATGCTCTGAGTGCGAAATCAGATAACTTTAGGCTATTACGAACCGCTCTGCAAACTTCGCTATGCCCTTCATACATGATCGTAAACAAAACAGAAGAATAGTGCACGGATAAGCAAACCAAAGAGCAGGAAAGGTGAGATTCAAGTGAACGCCAGTCCTGATGTGGAGCTATCAAGACATTCTTTGGATTTATTGGAGTGATAGAGGTTGGACCTGCGAGGTTGGGAAAGTAGCCACTTCCCATTTGTGAATCGCGGGAACGAACGCCCACCAGGGTGCCAATACGTCGCTGCAGGGGATACTCCCAGTCTCACACCTGCCGGAAGTAGGTGCAGTCACACGGCACCTATACATAACATTAGAGCTGTAGCAAGAGTATTCCAGCAAGTTTGAGTTCATAGAAAATTTGTTGGAATTCAGAGGCCTATGGTAGACGACGTGTTTCAGGGTTACTCTCAGAAAACATGGGACATTTCTGTGCTAATGTGAGTGAAATTCTCCTAACCCCTGAGGCACATGAGTGAAGAGTGTCTGATTGTGTATTAGACGCTGATCATCAATCTGCAAGCAATACTGTATTTTTTGGAGAAAAAGTGCTAAACTTTAGACGTATGGTGAATACAGAGGACTGATCAGCGCTTGATGCATACCTAACCCAAGTGTGGAGAGAGCACTGAGTCAAATAGACCATGATACTGAATACTGTTTTTTCTAGTAGTGTTCATACTTACGCCATCTTCGCAGAAATGCTGCTGATTATTGTAAGAGTACGGAAAACAGAGCTGGAGATGCGTCAATGAAGTAAGTTGATCGTCAAGGCTAACTACATTCTTTTGACGAGGAATGGCAGAATGGGCTTGAACTCAAAATACTTGTCCGCTCGTTGCGCAAGACGATAACTATGACAAGCGAACTCCATTTTAACGGCAAATGAGCGACCGATAAAGATCTACGAGGTACCTAACTACGTTCAAGGTGCTTTTTCTCCAGTTCGCTGAGTCCAGTTTAACTTAAAGGCAGTGTCCGGGCAAAAACTCGATTCTGAGTTTTTGTACTTATACGGGCCTATTCGCCATGCTGAATCCGAAAATCCACATTGGAAAGCGCGAAAACGGCGAAAAAGGGCTCTAACACAGGAGGGAAATCAGCAGGTGGGCGGGGCTTTCCCCAGTGCGATTTCACGCTCCCAACTGCCGGAGCGATTTTCTTGATTCCGCTGGGCATTCTAACATCGCTACAGGCCAAGTGCGAATGATTGACTTGAAACCGGAAGCGAGAAGGTCGCTCCGGAAGCCGGGAACGTGAATTCGCAGTGGGGAGGACCCCGCCCACTTGCTCATTTCCCTCCCGTGTTAAAGCCGATTTTCGCCATTTTCGCGCTCTCCAATGTGCATTTTTGGATTCAGCGTAGCGAATAGGCCCAAGTAAGCACAAAATCTCAAAATCGAGTTTTTGCCCGGACACTGCCTTTAAGCCAATTCAGTATAGACGGTAGCGACCGAGGAGCAAACAGGGAAAGCGAGCAAATTGTTTACAAACTAAAATAACACATATGCGCGATGAGATCAAGAGAAATATCTGTAAATTGCTATCTAAAGGATTAAAAAATAGGACAAATAGTGGTTGATGAAAGAAAGTGTTCAGTGACTAGCTTTGGATTCAAATCATAGCCCAAATGAATACGGATGGATTTTTTTGAAAATCAAAAAGTGAGTAAACGCCAAACTAACGTTGCCACTTTATCACCTTTCAAACCTATGATGGGCAAAACTGTTCATTTGACGCGATTTCCATATAAAAAAGAAAACTAATATGCCTGTGATGGTACAAATAGTGGTCTTGATCATTTACCTGGTCTGCATCTATATGTTACTGTTATTTTGTTGGCAGAAACCGGTTCGCGAGTTTTCTTCATAACTTGACTATAAATTCTGATCACAAGTTTGATATTATGCTGTGAAATTATGGGTTGTGTCACGTCTTTATTTTGACAATTGTGGACAAGCCCAACAATTCTTGGTCTAACTACTAACGAGAACTTCTATGTGCGTGAAGGCGTTGAGACTAGAAGTTTTTCTCCTTAGGCTCACTCCATGTGCTACTAAAAACCACATCAAGCGCATGCCGACATAGCACGAATTGCCAAAGGCTTTTCACATCGAACGTACACCTTTGCCGAGAAGTGTTCCACGGTACTCAAACACCTTCCGGACCTGTCGCTTAAGCGTTAACTCACTGCGAATGGTCGCCGCTTTGATGTGAGGCCACGAAACATTAGTGCGTAGCCGTTGGCATCATAATTCACGCTCAGCACCAAGTGGGTGCTGAGCACCCACTTGGTGCTGAGCGTAATTCCGGTGTCGGTCACCTTTTGCGTCGTAATTGGCTGAGGTAATTGACCGAGGCTTAGAAATCACATGTTACATGCTCTAAGAAAATACCAGCTATCTATACCTAGAATAAACATTGGAACTCACACCTTTGACCTGAGCTTTGTCATACTTGCACCCTCTTCAAGAGGTGTTTATTCGGTCAATGAGGAGGGCAGCCCCATTCTACGTGTAGGCTTTGAAATGCGATACCGTTCGTGATATGTCGGTAGTAGCTCCGTCGAGGCCCGTTTCTTGTTAGAGATCTTTGATCGTTAGGAAGAGCTTTTTGGCAAGATCAATTATAGCTAGATTAATTCTTAGTGGGATCAGAATAGATACTCGATAATTTTTGGTTGGAGACTTCTTATGCATGGTTCGCTATTAATAAGCATCAAAAAGAGAATAAGTCGGGAAAATCTTCGAATACAAAAACTTATCTTGACTTCTGAATGGAGTAAGACTAGTTCTAAAGATGTCTTTTCTAAGATAGAGAAATTCCAACTTTTTGGGAACCAGGTTCAAGCAAATTCTGTCTTTCTGAAATACAATTAGGAAGCATTCTTGGGTCGGATTATGGCTCCCAAAGACAGTCGGATTGTGGCTTTCATTGACATTGCGCATTCTTGGTGGAATTTAAACATTGGCTTGAGGGGATGAAATGAAGAAACTTATACCATAGCCTGTACTCCTGCAACAAAACCTTCATTGAGCAGGACTCCCGCTGATTGCAGTCATACCCAGATATTCACCCAATGAACAGATTAACGAGTTTGCCGCAGGAAAACGATGGTGTGAAACACCTGTGCTTGGATAGCCCTAAATTGCACAGCTTATGGGAATCTTTGACCCACATAGACTTAGAGATTTGCAAGGCTCCATCATGCGAAAAGCAATTGTATTTATGCAAGACTTTCAAAGGAAATCGTTTCAATTCAAAAGGCAGAAACCACATTTGCATAGAAACGGGAGGATGAAAATCGAGCGTAAGTCACTAGAAATGCTTCACTATCTTGTCAGCGATCTCGCCAGTGAATAGTTTTCCGGATCCCCGTAGTTGCGAACAGTTGCTGTCGTAAAAGAGCATTGCGTTTATAACTGCACTTCAAAGCGCTGCAAGGTCCCAACGCCTGTCTGCCTTGATTTTGACACTTTCCGACCTGCTAGGCACAGTCGGTGGCAGACAAAGGACAGTACCGTAATCGAGGTGAAGGGCACTCAAGGTGGCAATGAAAAAGAGCTGGATATTCGGTCAATGAGGAGGGAGCAGTAGAGACGAGCACGAGAGGTAGTCACATCGACGGCGGTATGCTGTGATGGGGGATAAGACCCGTAAGCTGCTTAGCAAACAACAGCATGATCGCTGCAGATTCACTTACCTACTGATTACTTACTGTTGAGTAAATGCTATAGAGCCGGGTCTGAAAGTTGTTGACTCAAATATCTTGCTTTCTCAAATACATAGATGAGATGGACAATCTTGGCTAGTGGTAGCCTAACTCTCATCACAAAAGAAAACGTTAGCTAGCGAAGGAAGGAAATAGAGATATAGGGAATATGTTCAGAGAACCTGCAAAGCAAACCTGTCGTGATCACAAAAAAATGAAGCTTTTGTAAGCGTAAATTTTCAGAGCTATTACTAGAAATCTTTCTCAGCTGCACCGTATGTCCAGGGCATAAACCGCAGCTTACGGAGATGCTTGTTTTAGCCCAACAGAATTAAAGGGAAGGTATTACAAATTTTTCAAGCTGTAGGCATCAACCTGGAATTAAAAAAATGCTTAT